TCCCAGAACAAGGGACTACATGAGAGACGCGGGAAAACACTTGCTTCGCTTAGGGCTCCTCTCCACGGTCGGATCGGCTGGTACCCTACTACCACCTCCTCTCAAGCTGGCACCTTACTGCCTCAATCGTCGAATGTCCCGGAGGACACACGGTCGCTGGCACGCCTGCCACACACCTCCTCTCCTCGCTTCTCGGTCGCCGCCTTCGGGGTGGTTTCCCTTATACCCTCTGCGCCCGGGGCTTCGGCTCCCTCCCCCTGGCCCTCGTCATATGGCCTAGGGGTTCCTATGATGGATTTGAGTTGTGGCCATTGGCCCTTAGGGGTTCGGTTTGGGTTTCTGCCTTTAGGTGTTTCGCTCTTGGGGTTAGGCGTGTTCTTGGTTCACTGTCAGGTAGTTAGCTTTCTTTTGTCGCTTAGTGGTAGGGGTTATTGGTTCGTTGTCTACAGGAAGGATTTCGGGCAGGAGTAGTTTTTTCTACCCTAGAGGGTTTTTTTAGCTGTCGTTCGGCCTGGTCCAGAGGGGGGTGGTTTTTTAGGCGTCATAGCTAGCGCTCCATATGCCTTTTTGTCCCATAAACAAATAATAAAATGAGTCAAACAAAACAAAAAAAAAAAATCCTTAGCTTTCAGAATATCCTCCGTCTCCACTACACCTTCGGCGATTGAAAACTCAACACCATGGTTACTATCGTGGCTTTCATCGTTTAGCACCACCAACCTCCCCCCATCTCCCTCCATCTAGCCTCGGCTACAGGAGGCAGGCTCGCTTCCCCTCCCCCTTGACGCCTTTATTTATTTATTGGCCCTCCTGGTTCTATCCTTGGTTGGGGTTTTTCGTCTTCGTGACACTTCTCCTCTTCCTACCCTGCCTGGCTTAGGCATTGGCACGGTCAGCCACCCCCTTTTCTACCTTCAACAGACGGCCGGGACTACAGTTACAGTAGGAGAGAACAGCTTACAGGCTACAGTTGATCTCTCCATTCTCTTACTCCTGTAGGAGGCTGCCTAGTCGGACACGAATGCGATTACCGATAGTTGTTGTTCACCGATTTGGGTCTACCCCTCCTCTCCCCTTCTCTACGGTCGGATCGGCTAGCACCCTACTGCCACCTCCTCTCAAGCTGGCATCTTACTGCCACAATCATCGATTGTTCCGGTGGGCACACGGTCGCTGGCATGCCTGCCACACACCTCCTCTCCTCACTTCTCAGTCACTGCCTTCGGGGTGGTTTCCCATATACCCTTCGCATCTGGGGCTTCGGCTCCCTCCTCCTGGCCCATGTCATATGGCCTAGGGGTTCCTATATTGGATTTGAGTTGTGATCGTTGGCCCTTACTGGTTTGGTTTGGGTTTCTGCCTTTAGGTAGTTCATTCTTGGGGTTTTGGCGGGTTCTTGGTTCACTGTCAGGTAGTTAGCTTTCTTTTGTCACTTGGCGGTGGGGGTTATTGGGTGGAGCAGTTTATGGGAAGGATTACGGGCGGGAGTAGTTTTTTCTACCCCAGAGGGTTCTTTTAGCTCTGTCGTTCGGCCTGGTCTGGGGGGGGGTGGTGTTTTAGTCGTCATAGCTAGCGCTCCATATGCCTTTTTGTCCCATAAACAAAAATTTAAATGAGTCAAACAAAAAAAACAAAAATCCTTAGCTTTCGGAAATCATCAGCGAACGGAGAAGAGATCTTATCAATATATTCGTTATACTTTGATACTTACTTTTGTTACCAGCTTTCTTGACTACTCTCCGAGAAACCTTATTGGCCCCAGTTACAATTCGTCTAAACTTAGAATTGGCTGCCGCCTAACACTTAGTAAACAATAAAACATGTTAAATTAATCATTAATTCAGGCATTACGAAAAATGTCACAGGGAAAACTGTCACACTTTTCGTTAGAAAACTGGTCCCATGTCTAGTCTTCCAGAACCATACTCTTACACCAAAAATACAACATTTTAAATCCTTAAGGCTTTATCAAAATAAGTTAAATGTGGAAAAAAAAACCTGTTTATTATTCTCCTTCATTTTGTCTTTCAGAAACAGGTTTTTTTTCTTGATATGTACTTATTCTTATGAAGCCTTAGGGATTTGGAATTGATGAAAAATCTGGTACACCTTTTGGATTGCTTGAACCATAGTCATATCATTACTCTTTTTCTCCTTTTTTTATCTTTCTATTATATCCTAATGTTCTATATGTTTTACAAAAAAAATGTCATAAAACAAAACAACACTAAATTTCAAAAAATAACATTTTAATATCCATGCCAAACATGCCTCCCTTTTTTTCAAAATTTATAATAGAAACATAGCATAAAAGTCAGAAAAATGGCATTTTTCTGGCATGCCAAACAGGGCCTTAATGTTTAAGATTGATAGTATTACTAATACACCTCTAGAGCAATATTTAGTTTTAATTATCTAACAAATTTTTCAACTCTTGAAAATTAGGTAAATGCAGTTGATACTAATTGTTGCAACACTATCTTGTGCTAACAGTGCTGACAAACTCGATAATGCAAATATCAGAAAATACATGGTTAACTAAACAGGCCCTAAATATGGATCTAAAGGGGAAGGAATACTTTAGTATGATTGGACTTCAGCTAACTATATGGAAGGCAGGGTCACGGTAGCACTAGTTTCTGGATAGTATGAACCAAATCCACTGGTCATATGACAGTGCATTTCACCCTTTTTTTTTTTAGCCACCTTTCAATCCATCTCACCCTTCTTTTTAGCCACCTTTCAGTGTTACAGTGATCCTATGACAGCAAACTAGAGAACCAAAGAGGGTAACAAACTATATGATTGGGCTTCGCCCAATAATACCCCGCTTTAGGCTTATAAGAGAGCTTTGCATCCGTTTCTCCCGCCAACAAGTCCAACATTGCATGCTCCCTACCCTATCGACAATGGCTTCACCAGCAAAACGTCTTAAAACTACCCCACTACGCATTGGAACTCACAAGTAATTCTACCCCCTTTCAACTCTTGGATATGTTTTTGATGTGCTGATGGCCAATTTCGATTCTCCCCAGCGGCCATTTCCATGTATGTTTGATTCTCGGGAGACAGACGAACGACGGGGAGACGACTAACCATTTACGACAAATTTTAGGCTGATGAGGCTCTTGCAGTCTACATGCTGCGTCTCTTACCAGAATACCAGGATTCGACCCTGACTCGTTCCCGGGATCCTGCCGTCCTCGAAGAGTGCGACATTATTGTAGATGTACGAAATCCTGCCCCCGATCAGTCGGCTGGTTTCGGGAATCGGGTTTGATTGACAAAATTTTCAGGTCCAAGGTCAGTACGACGGTACGAAACACTTCGATCACCACCAGCGTACATTCTCGGAAACCTTCTCTCCAGAATTCCAGACCAAACTTTCCTCGGCCGGGCTGATTTACAAGCACTTCGCAACCCAGATGATATCCCATCGCCTATCCATTCCTATAGACGACCCATCCATAACGCTCCTGTACAACAAGGTCTACAAGGACTTCATCGAGGCGATCGACGCGAACGATAATGGGATCTCTGCCTATCCTTCGGATGTCAAGCCAGCCTTTAACGACAAGTCCATAAGTCTCCCGTCCTTGGTGGGTTTACTGAATCCTGAATGGAATGATCCGGTCAAGACACAAGAGTCCGAGGATGAAAAGTTCCTTGAAGCGTCGAAATTGATGGGCACTGTCTTTGTTCAGAAGTTGGATTACTACGGCAAGTCATGGCTTCCGGCAAGGGATTATGTGGTGAAGGCAATGGAGGGCCGGTTCGAGCACGATGAAAAGGGAAGAATATTGATCTTTCCCCAGTCCATTCCGTGGAAAGACCATTTGTTTACCCTTGAGGTGGAGGCTGGAATAGAAGAGGAGGACAAGAAGCCTCTATACGTGCTGTACAGCCAGGAGGCTGAAAAGCAAGGCTGGAGGATTCAATGTGTGCCTGTCAGTAGGGATAGCTTCGAGAGCAGGAAGCCATTGCCTGAGCCTTGGAGGGGTATGAGAGACGATGCTCTCAGCGAGGCTTCCGGTATCCCGGGAGGTGTGTTTGTGCATGCTAGTGGGTTCATTGGAGGAAACGAGACCTTTGAGGGAGCATTGGAGATGGCAAAAAAATCACTCGGGTTGTAGGGTTGGCTAGTCAGCGGTCTGGGTAGCTCATACAAAAATATCACGGCGGGTTTTATCCAAAAACTGAGCAATTTCTGCCTGGCGACCGTTTCACGAATCCGTAGAATTAACAGATACGTTTGAAAGCGCTAGTTGTTCAAACGGCTGGCGGTCCGGAGAGTCTGAAAGGTAGCATTTTGCCGCACATAAAAGTGAGTTGCGGTAGAAATGGTGAGGCCCCGGTCACTCCCCAACAGCTGCCAAATCGCCATCAGGTACCAAAAGCAAGCCTGCACCGGCGGGAAATCAATGCCCACGGGGGAAGAAGTATGTATTGTTTTCGCTTGGTATAACCCTTTACCCGCTATTCCGCCCCCGCCTCCATGTGTACATTCATCGATCAGCCCGTCCACCCGCCCGTCCGTAGCAACTATTTTCTCCAACATTCTCATACAAACTTATCTAGCACGGGTCAAAGAGTCCAACTCTTCCTTCTCCTTCCTCTCCCTCTCAATCTCCTCAATATAAGGCATCAGGTAGGAGATATCCTAAATCTATATTAGCATCCATGCACGATATTCAATCCTCTATTTGTGGAAAGGTCAATATAACGTACCCCCTCAGACTTGGTCTGCTCCTCCTTCGGTAAAATAGTGTGCGCGAGCGAGCATTGGACCGCCCTTCGCAAACGGTACACACGGTCGTAGGCAACCTTAGGGGGGAGCCGTTTGAGCGCCTCTTGGACAACTTCGTTTTCATCAGCGATCAAGTCATCCCGGCTGCAAAAGCATTACATTAGGCCCGAGATACAGCACCGGTGGTTGTTGTTGGGGGGGGGGGGCTAATCGTACACGAGACCAAGTTTACGGTATCCAGCGAGGTCATTGTATTTTTCAGCGATGGGAGCCATCATCTTGTGCAGCCATGGTCTAGCAACAATTGCGCGGCGAAGAGCAAGCCCAGAGGTGAAACCCATTTGTATTTGTAGACCAAGAAGGGAAGAAAAAAAGAGCGGAGTATTGTTATGTGGTGATGGTGGTCGATGTGATGCTGAAGGAGAGGGTTCGAGTTTGAGGGGCGGGGTGGAAGGGTGGGAGAATACGGAACGGATGACGGTAAATGTGGTCATTGAAGGCTAGGAGAGAAAAAGAAAAGAAAAAGGCCCAGTTCCCAAAGCGATCTAATCTTATCTGATTGAGGGGTGCTTCCGATATACCGGTACCGGTATGATATCTTCCCGGATGGAATGACGTTCTGGGCTGATGGGAGCGGTGTTAGCCAGATCAGAACCGAGTTTTCACTCCTGGGCCCGATCAAGGCTCTGAGTGAGAAGGCTCGAGCGAAGGGAGAATCTGGGTTCGCAGTGCCCGATCAAAGTATTTTTGGCAGCGCCCTGAGTATGGTGCAATTCAATATTGATAACCGATTGGCTCGCCAGCCAGCTGTAGGCTGACCCAGTCCTCGTGTGAAAAGGTCCCTCTGCGGGTACCGTATCATACTACTCGAGTACATTCTATTCCCTCTGACCTTCTTCGTCCTCACCTCTTCAACTATCCTTCTCCGGTGGTCTGCCCCCGCTAGCTCGTATCGAGGCTGTCTGATCTCCCGCACCATACCTGCTCGGTGCCGACAAGAATTAGTACTCGTACTCTCATTCCCGCCCTCCCCCTTCCTCCCCTCCAGCCTACTCCCTTCCCCTCTTTGCCCTCCGCTCGACAAGCTCAGGTTAATAAAAGGGCAAAAAGAAGCCAATCCCGGGAGCCGCATTAAGTACTGCATCGTACTACCCACGATATATCATCAGGCAACCTCTCGTCCCCCCATTCTCTCCCCTCGCCTCACATCCGGCAAATCGACGACAAAGCGGAATTAGTCGCTGCTTGTGGTTGCTTTTTTTCTCGCGCTCAGGGTGCGATCTGGGTCCGGTCGTGTGGGGGGTTCGGTGCGTGCCAAAACAAAAAAAAAAAAAACGTTTCCCCAAGTTGCATACCGGTACTGTACGGCAACCCCAGCTTCTTCCCCCGTTCTGTACAAAGGAGCCGCCTTGCCACGATAGCTACCGGTAGCCTATTGCCAACTCTGCCGAATCAACTGCAAACTAAACTTTCCCCTCCATCTCCACTTTTTCTTTTGTTCCCCATTTCCTGTTCTCTTCCTTCCGTCATCCGAAAGTTCGGGCGGAAGAAATTATTACAAAGCTTTGATAATTTTATAATTCCCCGTAACAAGAAAAAAAGAAAAGAATACAAGGGGAAGGAGACACCCCCTCCATTTCCCTCCCCTCTCGTTTGCTCCCGCATCCGGCGATAAGAACTGGGACAACGAGAAAACAAACTCACCAATGGCTCCATCGATACCTTCCACTAAAGCACAGGACTCGACATCCATTCACCACACTAGCATCTACCCACGTCTAGTCCCTGCCCGACTTACCGATCCTCTGATTTACGCCATCTCGGGTGCTATAGCGGGGCTAGCTTCCGGAATCATCGTCTGTCCCCTAGATGTTATCAAGACAAAACTGCAGGCTCAGGGGGGGTTCTCGTCGATGCGTAAGAGGCTGGCAACACATGGGCATGGTGTGGGGAGTGTTGGAGGGGTCAAAATGGGTAGGGGAATGGCTGATCGGGCCACGATGGGAGAAAGGGTTCTTGCTTACAGGGGACTTGTGGGAACAGCTAGGACGATTTGGACGGAAGAGGGTGTTAGGGGTATGTATCGTGGATTGGGGCCTTTAATTCTGGGCTATCTCCCTACATGGACAGTATATTTCACCGTGTACGAGAAGTCGAAGGATGTTACCGCGGATCGTAAGTTTGGCCTTGTTCATTTGTCGCTTCGCGGCGTCTACGGCCTTTCTATTCGTGCTCAGGGTCTAACCGTCAGCGTGAAGAGTTCGGAGGTGCAAGTTGGTTCACCCATACTCTATCTGCAATGGTAGCCGGTACCTCATCAACGCTCGTCACAAATCCGATCTGGGTGATCAAGACCCGTCTCATGTCGCAGAATGCAATCGCTGCCAACACGTCTTCGCAATACTCCCCCATCTCGAATACCTCATCGGCATATGTCAAGGTTCCCTATCACTACACCTCCACTCTCGATGCTGCACGCAAGATGTACCTTCACGAAGGCATTGGCTCATTCTACTCGGGACTCGCGCCGGCACTGTTGGGACTTTCCCATGTAGCAGTGCAGTTTCCACTTTTTGAGGCGTTCAAGAGGCTCTTCATCGGAAGCGAACAGCTAGAGAAAGGCTCAACCGGTTTTACTCATTTCTGGGGTGTTCTCGCCGCTAGCTGTCTGAGTAAAGTATGCGCGAGCTCAGCAACATATCCGCATGAAGTTCTACGCACCAGACTTCAGACCCAAAAGGTAACCCATAGCGATGGGGACACGCGCCCTCGCTATCGCGGCATCATTCATAGTGCCAGAACAGTGTATCGGGAGGAAGGTTGGAGGGCATTTTACGCTGGGATGGGAACGAATATGCTCCGTGCGGTTCCCGCCAGTGCCATGACTCTGATCACCTTTGAAAGTCAGTTTTCTCTTCCCCTCCCATGGCCCCTGGTTCGCTAGTTGACCGCGTAAAAACATGTAGTTGTGTCCGGGAAACTCCGTCGCTGGAAAGCGGAATCTGTAGAAGAGGATCGGCGCCTCCGCTAATAACGGTCTTTCAACTCGGTATACTAAAGCTTAACTATCGTCCGGCGTCACCACTGGTTCTTCGATTTATCATTTCATCATCCCACTTTTTTTTTTTCGTTCCTTCCATATTTGCTTTCTCCTGTCTCTTTTTTCCTGCTTTTTATTTTCGTTCTTACACTGTATAACTTGCTCTCCCTTTGCCTACCTTTCCGACACTCCTACCTCTCCGATGCCGGAAACAAAGGAACCAGAGGTATATTCCACGGCAACCCCCCTAACCTCCAGGCCCGTTTATGGCTCGCTGACTGGAAGTGATTGATCTGTCGGTTGGGTGGGGATGATGGATTATTCTGCGTTGGTATTCTGTCTTATTCTGCATGGGGGTCTGCGCGTTGGTGGGCATTTCAGGCTTATTTTCACTTCTTTTCCCCATATTTCTATTGGCTTTATTTCTATTTCTGTTTCTCGTTTCTCCCCCCCCTCTTCTTCGCTTTGCCGGGGCGGGTAACAATAAATCGGCTTTGTAAAGTTACGTGGGTTCATGGATTTTGGGGGAGTTCACTTTTTGTTTTAAAGGTACTTCGGGGCAGAGGTGTTTGATTGAAGATGCTAGAGTTATGATTTTGATATGAACGATATGACCCAAACTCTACAGGAGCTTTGCGATTGCGGCGCGATGTGTCTTGGATAATTAGTGGTGGGTTCGCTGGTACTTGTATGTGGGGTACAGTACCCATGTCACCGGATTGAAGTCGCTCACCCTTTGGTGGTGACGCACTAGAAAAAAGCAAAACAGAGGAAACCCCCGTCTTGAATCCGGCGACATGAGCAGTTCAAATACGGTATTGAGCAAAAAAAACTTTCGTGGCATACCATTTTTGACAGTCGGGGGGGGGTTTGTGGGCATGGGTTGGCACGATCTTGTCGATCTAGCGATTTCTTATTATGCCATCTACCAGAGCTCATTATTCAATACTCCTTGGACAGATTAACTGAAAAGGTTGAATCTAGACCTGGCCTAAGAAAGGAGAGGACTTACTATATAGTAGCGTAGCACAAATATCGGGCTCCACCCAGCATACCATACCGGTACCGTTCCGTAACCCTTACCGCTCACAAACTTCCCCACACCAACGCTGATCCCTCCAATCCGCAGCAACGCACGGACCACACCGAGCTCAGCCTCAAAAACCCAATTTCAACCACAATCACCACAATACCGTCCACGCTTCACCCCCCCAAAGTCCCCTTTACCCCCCCTTCTCTCCCGTAACCCCTCTACTCCGGACCTGCCACCTACTACAGCAACCCCCAACAGTACACCGCCAGATGGCAACCCCTTTCCAGAATACCTACCACCTCCGCAAAGTCGCCGACGTAACCCCCTCCCCTCCCCCATCCTCAACCAAAAACTGACAAACAATACAAGACGTCCTCAAAACCCTGCACAATATGCTATAAACATACACCGCAAGTTCTGATAACCCCGGACCAGAAAGACTTTTTCTACGTGTGCCTCTCGCACACACGGGACCGGGGCTTCGCTACCGCAGTTGTGCCGACGATGAAGGAGGAGACGGAGGGGGCACGGAAGGTACGAGAGGATAAGGAGTTGGAGGCGGAGGTGGAGAGGGTTAAGAGGGAGTTTTTGGAGAAGGAGAGGAGGGGGAAGGAGGAGAAGGGGAAGGGGAAGGATAAAGAAAAGGAGGGGGAGGAAGAGAAAAAGAAGGAGGAGGAGAGGAAGAAGGAGGAGAGCAAGAAGGAGGAGGAGAGGAAGAAGGAGAAGGAGAAGGAGGAAGAGGAGAAGGAGAAAAAGAATGAGGAACCGAGGATTTTTGCATTGCATAAGTAGGTTCCCGAGGTTGAACTTCTGTCACTGGTGCCGGTGGGCGTCCTAACCTTGGGACCATGACAGAACAGTTTTCGAATCCCGCGTCCGCCGCTACCGGCAAGTCCTGCTGGCAAAGCTAAATCAAGACCGATTGCGCAACGGAGCGTTCCCATCGGTGCCGACCGGCTTGCCGTGATTTTTTTTGTATTTTCCCCCTCCCTTTTACCATTAGCGCGCGAGATGGCGCAATTTTCTCCTGTTCCTGATGGTTTACGAGCGAGGCTGGGCGGGAGGGGTTTTTATGGATGATTGCGCGATTAGCTACATTGTATAGGTTTATGATACCCGGTGCGTATGCGAGAATTTTGGGAATCTCGGCTGCGGGGGATAGTTGCAGCGGATGCAGAATTTGGCAAAACCTTTAGATGACCAGCCAAATGCTTGCCCCCGACCCGGGCGGCATTGCAGGTTAGTAGGTGTCAATGCGGGTTGTTTTCTTACAGGATTTAGTGCATGGCCTATAATGCTACTCTGAATTATGATACAATCGAGTGAGTTGCTTACGTCCCCTCCGTTCTTCCTGCTGAGAAAGCTACTGCTTGCTTGACTTGAACCCATTCTTCCAGCTTCATTGTCACGACATATCGCTCATATATGGTATAGAAAGAAAAGAGAATGGCGGGGGAATAGCTAACCATAGTGCTGTGTCACTACCCAAGTGCTGACTCTGTGGCGAATGCGCTTTTCACTGGGCATAATATGCATAAGCTTTATAATAACTTGAAGCCGTAGACATGCCACACATTATTGCCCCCGTTCCCCGCAGATCCCATCCGGAGCAAGCAAGCCATTCCAAGATATACTTCGGGTGCGAACGAGAACAAGAACACATCGCTTTGCGGCAATCGTACAATGGCCTATGCAATCTCAACCTCAGCGAGTTTATATCAATTTATATTAGCGTTCGGAGCATAGCACTGATAGCTCTAGCACGAGGCTACTGGTGGGGGGGGAGGGGGTGAAGCTCTGTGTACCCGTCCAGAAAGGATAGCTGCCGGCAGGGGCATAGCAGACTCGTTCGTATGTATCCTGTGGGAAAGAAAAGTAAAAATCATGACTACCCTAGCGCTGTCGTTGGCTATTTACGAGCCCTAAACGCGTCCATCACACCTAGCCTAAAGTATTCGCAGATATCTGACCTGATATTAAGTCCAAATAACAAATACAGACAATCGGAAACTCGTTGTTTCCCTCTCGGCGCCCAAAATGACAAGGTATGACTGATACACATTTACCGTGAATAAGACCATACCAGTGGTAACAATATCCGTACGTAGATACCTCCCACTCTCGTGCCACCACCCCTTCAGATATCATATCTGACAGCATGCCTAACCTCGAACCCCTCCAAAAACTCCCTAATCTCCGCATACTCCTTAAACTTCTCCGACCTCCCAAACTCCTCATGCTGCGTTACACTCTCCCACCCTGTAAACAACAACCACTCCTGCCCCTTCTCCTCCCCCTCCCCCTCATCAAGCCTCCAGCCCCCCGCAACCTCCCACGCCCCTGTAGACCCACTCAACACCCCCCTAACCCTTCCGAAACAGCCTTCAAACCCCGTCTTCATACCCCGCTTGACATGGTGCCTCCCGACACTCACCACCGGTGCCCCCAGCGGAACGGCGCCCCCGTCCATCTCAGCATGGTACATGACATCCACGTCAATCACGCCCTTTGCGTCAGCCAGGAGCTTCTGGTTCTCGTCTGAGGCCAGGAACGAGTTGTGCGCCGGGACGCTGTCCCAGGCACCGATGAGGTAGATTGTGTTCGGGGACTAGATTTGCGTTAGGAGGGTGAAGGGGTGGCCGGAAGCGGAGTTTAGGGCCTTTAGAGCGTTGTCTAAGATGGATTTCACCGTGGGCGAGGAGGGGGTGTGCGGGGTGCGGAGTGTGAAGATTGCGAATTCTAGGACGGTCATGGCTTTTTTGTTGAGGGTAGATCTGTAGAGAAATAACTTGAGGCGTTTGATATATGAATGTCTGCACTGGTATACGGTGCAGTATAAATCGGCTTCCAGCCCCCCCCCCTGTTCACTCGGTGTAAATACCCACCGCTTCCCCTGTACTAGTACACTCTACCCCTATGCGCGCAGTACGTCATCCGCCAATCCGATGCCCTGGTTCGCAGGGTTCAGTTAGGTACGGTACCAGCTCTCCGTTCGGCACAGTAGTGATCGTCATGGATATTTGGGTAACTTGACTAATAAATACCCCCCAGAGCATCATACCGTCCGATACAAGCACAAGTATGGATGCCGGTACAGTACCGATAGCTAGCCACTTCCAAACCCCGACAAGTAAGGCTGTGAACGCGGTACCCGTAGGCTTCGCGCCGAGTTTGTGTGTCGGACCTTTACCTCACCTCTCGTTCCACGATGGTGTTTGATGCCATCACTCAGACTATCATACGCACGACGCGCGGTTCCCTCAGTCGGTCGGGTCGGTCCACCCCACGTGCGGGATGGGTTTTGCCGCTGGTGGCTGGGTTGGTGCTATCATAACTTCTATTTACCCGTTTTGCCGGGCACTTGGGAAGCAGTGGCGGTGGTGAGGAGAGTTATGGGTGGGACGTGGCTCTTTCACTGCACTGATTTTGATGTGCGGTTGGTTGGTTGGCTGGTTGGTGTTGCGCGGCATAGGCTCTCACTCGTGAGAGTCGAAGAGTTGGCGGGATATCATAGGTAGTACGGTGTCCATGTTAGGGCACTTATGAGAGATGACAGCAATAGACATTTTCCCAACTTTTGTTTTGCAATCATATTTAGAAATTTTTACCCCCTTCTATGGATGACGAAGAGGGAAAAGTTGCCAGTAAGGGGTTGAGGGAAAGGGAACATGAAGGTCGGGAGACGAGCATCACCATAATTTTCTTTCCCCGCTCCCCCCCTTTTGTCTCCCATTTGTGTGGTGGAGCAGTCTATTTCATAGATGAGTGGTTGAGGATAATCATTCATTGTGGAACAAGGTTGTGTCGCCTTCTATTTACTTTCTCTGTCACCATCGACATTACTGTTACCGGTAAAGTACTTTACAGCTTATTCCTCAGCCATTTCCAAGGCTCTCAGGTATCAGAGAGCATGGATAGATTGGCCTTTGCCACCACCCACTAAAGAACGCATAGGACAAGAGAAGACCTGACAGTACTGCGCCATCTGGTGTAGGTATCAACCAACACGTGAGGGGTATGTCGGTCGATCTTGGAAACTTTGTAGACCCTGCATGTCATGACCAATAGGTAGCGGGGTGAGATCATAGTGCTCTTCCTAGATACGTTAAAACTATAAATCATCCACCCAAGTCGGCCTTAAGAACGCGATGGGCCTTGATTGAAATATATATAGTGCTTATTTGGACTCAAGACCATACACCAGCCCCGAGCCCCCAGAAGCATTCATTTCCTTCCTACATGGTCTCTTGTATTCAATCACAGGTTATGCGACTTGTGGCGGGAATATTGCCTCTTGGAAACAGCCCTAATCCATGACTCGCAGAGAATTCAACAGGGGTGTAGGTTCAATAGCGCAAATATTTGAGATAGTGAAATGGTTGGAACTTAACAACATTAGAGGCATTTTTTCTCACGGCTCGGGGTGTGGCTTTCGTGTGAGAGAATAAAGCGGAAAAGAAAAGAGCTATGATTGATATAGAGATTCTACGCCCTCACCTTTGGTTAGTGGTCAACTAGGCGTCAGCCTATCCGGGAACTCGCGGTTTTCCCTTACACTAAACTAGCCCAAGGTCCTATAAGCTCCTCCACTAGAGAAATGCAGTAAAGACCGGCAAGATAGGGGACATGATTGGGTCGACCTCCATATTGATTTAAGCTACTCTATCTTGCTACCCATTAGCAACATAATTGTTCCCATCACTTCCCACTCTTCGGCGCTAACCTGTAATACCTTTACCGAAAGAACAGTATAACCACCATCTTCACTTCGCTTGTTCACCTGACATTGGTGAAATAAAATCACTAAGAAAAAGCCGTATGAGGATAGGAATAAAAATAAAGCAAGAGCGCCTATCTGGAAAAGTAGTAGGCGTTTCACGTACCCGCGATTATGATGCGGGGGGGGGTAGTTTTGGTAATCAGCAACAACAACAGCAACGCAAACACCGTGACCAATTAAACCTGAGTATTTCATAACATCGTCATCTGAAAACTCTTCACAAACATTAGCTACCGTTCGCAATCTAATAAGGGGTTGTTTCACGATTATCAGTTGTCAGATAATGTGTAATGGTGAGCATGCCTCAATAACTCTTTGAACCTGCATTTTTAAGCATTCAGTGACCCCACTAACTTGTTCCCTTCGCGACGGTTTGAGAGTTCGGGTGATGGGAGTGGTTTCACGAGATTCTCCTGAGGCGCCATTTCTGCCAAAGTTTCGAGGCTTGTAAGAGAGAATGGCAACATAACACAGTCCTCATAATCGGTGAGATCGGCTTTAGAGTTTGCTTTGATGATCGAGGTATTGCTATCTGGGCTGTCCGATACCAGCTCTGTTGGCTTGTTCCCTGTTCCTTCCCCTAACATCTCCTCAGAAGCCTTGCCTGCCACCTGCGAACAGAGCATCGCTTCCCCCACCTCATTCTCCGAGTCACTTTCCGATGTCGACTTCCTCTCGGCTGTTTCTCTGAAAGCTCTGAGCTTATGAGAAGGTAAGTATACTGCATTTCTGATAGGAATATTGGTATTCATTTCATATTTAAGTCCACTCATTGGGTGCATCTTGCTCTTAAGCCTCGTTAGAGATTGGCTCATACTAAGCCTGTGCCCAAGAACTCTGCTCTTGGTGTCACGGTTTTCATCAAAATTTTCGGTGCTAGGTGCTGTATGGTTTCCAAAGCTGTTTGTCGACGCCCTACGGCGGGTGCCAGCACCCCTGTTACGGCGACCATGTACTCGAAGCCTTTCGCCTAGTGAAATGCTTGATTTCAACCTCCTCGCGACTGTGAGTTGATATGTGGGAGCGGCTAAAATCGCCTGGCTATTACCTTTGGAAGAACCAATAGCTTGGGGACCTTCAGTCTCTGGAAAGCAATGATGGTTGAGACCATAACTCGCAGCTTGTAGAGAGCCGAAATCCGACTTTTTACAGTATTCCTCGTTGGTGACATCTGCAATCATTGAGCGACTACCTCCCACCCCTGCAGTTACAGCCCCATAGGAGCTTCTCCTCGGTTGGGTCTGTGTGTTCTTGGAGTCCTCGCCCACTTTGCCACCATTGCCCAGATGTCTCTCGGAAATGTTGCGGTCAGTAACTCGTCCTGACTGATGGAGTGAATCTGGAAACCGATCCGGATATATACTAGTAGTAGTTCCAATGTCCAGAGGCCTTGCCCTTCCAGCAGGTGGATAGAAAATCGGCCCCGGTGAAATTCTCTTCTGTATTCCGGCGTCTGTCGCCTGGTAGGAGTTTTGTGTCTGATTGGGGGTGTTTCCCTCTGCCATCGGGGAGAACGTTAAACATGGAACATTAACAGAACTTCCACCCATACCTACTAAACTAGGGGCAGATGTATATTCCGAGGAGTAAATAGACGAACCGTCCACGGGAGGGGAAGGTTCGTAATTTTGGACTGAAGATAACAGGTTTGCCGACTCTTCCAACGCTCCGATTTCTGAAGGCGTATAGAAATGTTCTTTGCAAAAGTATGAGCTATCGAGCCCGTAACTTAAGAGAGACTCAGTAGAAGTGAAATTGCTCTCTGAAGGTGCAACCAGTGCCCGAAGATGGGAAAAGTTAACCGAAGACAGAATGTTTGTCGTGGATTCAGAGGGGTTGACATCACTGCTCGGTACGACTTGAGGTTTCTGCCGAGCACCCGGCATCTCTTCTCCACTCGACGAAATACCAATTGTATTACCGCTGGGGTCTTCAGGCATCATTTTATCATTGAGATCGCTTGTGATGTTTGACCCCCCAGAGGCTTCAGAAGAATGATCGTTGGCTACATGCTCGCTAGAGCTCAGTTTTTCGTGAGACTCGACCTTGTCCCCGAGCGTTCCGCTTCTCATAGGGCCTAGGGAAGCTTTTGGAGGGTACAACGTGCGAAAGTTTAGGCTTCCCATCGTCTCGGCGGTGTCCTGTTTCTCTCGGCTCACATCCCCCCACTCAGTAGAAAGTGAAAGGGTAGCCTCTCTATAAGTACCGGATTTTCCAAATGGGGTTTTATATTTGGCTGGCGATGGGTCATATTCTTCAAGCAACGAAAGGAACGAGCTGTTAGGCCCAAGATCACCCGTCGAAACCGAATCTGTGCGTCCATATTGCAGGGTCAGAAAGTGAAGCCAAAATTCGACCAGAGCTTACAGGAAAGTATTACCTTTCAAGGATGGGGGCGGCATCCTCACGGGACTCATAGCTCCGGTATAGATTTTCGGCAGCGGCTCTAGGCATATATCATGATTCGATATATCCCAACCCTCCCTACGAACACTTAGAAAAAATCAGTTAGAGTTGGACAAAAAAGAAGCCAGTATATTCTCCCGTACCCACTCCCAGACATATCTTGGATCTCAGCATCAAGTTTTGGCCAAGAAGCCTTGTGATTCTCACTATACAAGGCTGCACTGGCAGCGAAAGACTCTTCTTGTTTTTTCATAAGGATAGCATAAGCCTCGTCAGAAAAATAGTCAACACTAGCCGCACTGCCTGCAGGAGTAGATGGGTAGACCAGTCCCTTTTCCACAGTATAGGATCGCTGCGGAAGTTGCGGAAGCGGAAGAAGGTGAGACCTCGACTCCCCAGCAACGGAAAATGAAGATGCGTTCAATGTATGAATGAGGAACGCGGGAGGTGATATAAATGATTCCACTCCTGAAGAATCACGGACTTTATCACGTTTGCGGGAACGGAAGCATGAAAACAATTCGTCGAAGCAAGACATAATTGACCACCTGTATCGGAATCGGGATAGAGTGGATACCCTCACACCGGAGTAGAGAGCAAAAAAATTGGATTAAAGGATACGGAGAGCCACCCGTTTGGTTGGCTATGTTCGGAGGGAGCTGATTATTGGGATTGGAGAGGTTGGTGGGTATAGAGAAAGGGAATTGGGGGTAAAGGATGGGGAAAGGGCAAGGAGGGGAGGATGGGAGGAGGGGAGGAGAGGGATACCTGTTTGTCCAAACGAGAGGCCAGTAATACGTATATGGATGCCAAGGAATCCAGTCCAGCGTACCGGAGGGAATGGGGCACTGGAGAAAAACAGCCTTACGGAGCTTACGGAGGATCCAGCACAGCAGAGAGACGAAAGGCTTACGAAAAGGGCCGTGTGGTGGGAGAGGTATGACGGCAGCTGCTCGTTCTCACTGCAAGCGAGGAGCCTATTGGCATGGGGCGGTGTGGTCTCTGCGCTGTTTAAACGGGATGTTTGAAAATCTATAAAATTCAAGCGGAGTGCTTTGGAGGTAGTGCAGTGACATATTGTTTGCTTGTTCGTACCACTCCTGTATTTGGGACTGGGATTTTACGATATCTATACTGTCCATCACAAAAAGTTTTCAACCACAGGCACCACGTGAGGCAAACCTAAGGGAGGAAGCGATTACTCGGAGAACTGGAATCCGAGAACTTGACATGATGCTGTGAGGGGGAGTTGCTGCAAATTTATCTCTTGTATGATATATGCTAAGCACTAAAGGTATTATACAGAACTTGCCCCCCCCCCCCTCAAACAATAAAAACTATCGCTGACGGCTGAAGAACCCGAATACTGCGACAGGGTCCGACGCCTCCTACCAGCTAATGTTCGGTCAGAGACGAATCTAGCAGCCCATATGGTTGTTTCCTTAGGGACCTGGTATCACGGATCCTCTTTAGTCCCTTGGAACCTGGGCTGTTTTTGACGTAAATCGCGATCATTGGCACCCATACCAAAGGTTCTATGAAACCGTAGCCTAATGGGGTAAGAATTGTACTTGTATAGCTCAACCTATCCGAGCCTTGGCTTCACACGGATCTATGGTTGATCCAGCGCTCTAGGGTATTCCTGCACGCTATAATATTCCCTGATCTCTAGAACCCCGATAAACGTGGGCGACTGTGAAAAACAAAGACGTTGTTTTTATTCTTTCCCTGTCCGATTATTGCCCTCAAATTTCCCGGTACTCGTAGAGGGGCACCGGCACATTACCCTTCCTCCTGATCCCTTAGGAATCGACTGCTGCAATCCCTTATCAGATTACCAAGGATTAATACAACCAATCATAGCCCAGACGCTGCCCACACGGTAGAGGTGGTGGACACACCCCGGATAGTTTCCCAGATCCCCTTTGTTTTTGGCAACACCTCCGTCCTAGGAAGGGCCCAACACTATACCTACCCCTCCCGGATGGGGACGGTGTTTATACGAGATGTAAAGTCGATGTGGAGAATGTACACCCCACGAGCGCAAGTCGATGCCATTACGGGCACAGGGCATTCTCCACCGCGGGTTCAACTCCCTATACTAAACGGACGGAAGCCCTACCCCATCTCGTTCACATGCGCTGACATGATGTCGTGGGTGCGCTCAATTCAATGGCAAGGGACTGTCCAGGGGGTTTATACAAATGCTTATATTTAAAGTCCGCCTTCTGCCTTTTGTCTGTCGCATCCACGCGGCTCCCCCATTCCCCCCTCGGTTGGTGATCATAGATCTGTTCCTCCTCCATTATCTCAAAGAGATGATCAGTTCCCCCGCAGCAGGCCTGGCTGCGGCCTTTGGGCTCTTCATGGTTGCTAGTGCTCATCCTATTGCTACTGGCGACTTGCACGGAGAGATTAGAGGCGTTCAAGCTCATCGTGGAGGACTTGGAATGAGGCCAGAGAGTATATTTGTCAATTCCTCCCGGTTTTGATTCAAGTGCTGATGGTGGACAGGCACTCTCTTTGCCTTTGGCTACGCACTTGAGATTGGAGTGGATGTGCTTGAGATGGATACTGTATGTTCCTGATTAATTGAGTTTTTTTCCCACAGAGAAATAATATACGCTAACTATCCTTAAGGTATTCACGAAGGATGGGATTGTAAGTGCCAGTAATGCCGAATTTTTGTCAGGTTCGTTGGGTGCGCCAGCTAATCTGCGACGTGCATGTGATAGCCGGTTATCTGGCACGACCATCGCATTCAGAATGACAAGTGCAACGATACCGTCCCTGGTGCAAACTACGTAGGCAAGGTGAGAAAAATACGATACCATGACGCTCTAAAAGACTTATCCCGACAATTGTCCTTTACGCCAATTATGATACTATAGTACATCGCCAACCTGACCCTCGCACAAGTTCAGGTAAAATGGAGCTCCCAGAGATTCAACTCAGTTTCTAATGCGTCACAGACATTGGACTGTGGAAGCCAGCAACTTCCGAAGCATGATCAAGCAGAATGTATCCTACTTAAATTCCCTAACTTGGAGATTTTCTGTGGAGAGGTTAACGGGTAGCAGTGCACCCCCGTGCTAAAATCTCCACCCTGGAGGAGGTTCTGGATCTGATTGACTGTTACGGTGACAAGAAGGTCGTACTTAATCTTGAAGTGAAACATCCTCCTTTCCCAGATCGCTGATTTGATTCTAACCCCCTCCCCCGCGCAGACAAAACTTGACCCCGAGCACGCCAATGAAACCCTCTCCGTCGAGACCTATATTGACAACATCGTACCAATCCTCCAGAGGCGTGGATATGCTGACAGAACCTATATCCAATCGTTCGATTGGCGCACAATCGTCGGGATCAAGAAGAAGTTTCCCAAGACCAGAACTGTTGCCCTCCTAGATGATACCACGGTGACTCCCTCCGGACACCTAGGATACGCCTGGCTGGGCGGGATTGATGTAAGGGGTCAATTACCCACACACTAATCTCATACTCTAACCATTCACTAGCTCCAGAGAGACTTTGCCGGTGACTGGGTCAAGGCGGCACATTCTATCGGTGCAACTGCCCTCTCTCCCGTACACGGAACCCCTTCGTCCGCGTCTGTCAACACACCTGGTTATAAACCCTTCACAACTACTGATGTTGTCAACCGGGCCCATGAGCTTGGTATGATGGTCATCCCATGGACGGTTGACGACGAGGTTACAATCGATAAGCTGTTTAGGCGAGTAACCCGTACACACCCCAATGAAATAGTAGGGTATCTTTACTAACACATGTTATATAGCGACGGGGTCGAGTGAGATTTCCCTATCCTGAAGCTTTGAACCAGGGAAATTACTGACATATCCCAGCGAAATTATTTCCAATTACCCTGAAAAGGTTATATGGATTGGGCGTCAGCGCGGTGTCCACCTCGGCCTCAAGCGCAACCCATCGAAGCCCCAATGCTTTTCACGTGCGCTGGTCCCTTAGGTGGGGTTTGGCGAGCGAGCGCACAAAAAAAAGGGGGGGGATGCCTTAAACTAATACTAGGATTCTGAAGGCGATATTATCTACTGGGCTTTCACCACTCCATACGCTAGTACAGGGCCGCCTTAATCTTTCTTGTAGATAGATAGAATTGTATACTTGCCCCTTGCACACTTACTTACAAATATGAGATTTCAAATTAGACCAAAGTGTGGCAAGCCGAGCAACCGCAATCAATCAATGCGCACAAACATAATATCCAGAAGGCCAAACAAACAAACACAAAACATCTCAATACCCAAACCAGAACCGTGTGCCGACCACACCAAGAACCCGCTCAGCTATGATACCAACACCATCAGATATCGCCCCCCCCCCCTCTCCGGCTAACCTAGAATCCTACCTGTCCAAAGATCACACACTATCACTCGAATGGCAATCCATACCCCCTGTTGAAACGTCTGATTGATTATTACGAAGGAGAGGTGGGATACTCCCGACTATTATACGGAAAAGAACCAGCCACTGTTTGATCAAGCTCACGCGGCTTCACTTGCCGCCTCACCCGCCACATTATCGGTTGACAAGCTGTGCTGCATTTACTATCCCCAATATGGAAGGATGCTTCCAACACCCCCCCCCCAGAGCACCGGATATTCAAAAACACCTTGAAAGAAAAACATCCGTCACAGTAGACACTCCCCTCCTCCCCCGATTCACCCCTCTCCTTCCACCTCCCCTCCACCCTCCTTCCGCACACCGCCACCGCCACCACCAGCATCCCGCCGCAACCGCGCACCCGACCGCGCAGCAGAAATCGACGTCCGTGTGTATGCCAGCAGTAAGAACGCCATCGTGAACGCCGCCAGGGGCATTGTCAAAGTCTATATTTGGGGGGGTGAGGGGTGGGACGGTTAGTGTACGTCATGCGGGGTGTAGCGTCGGGTAGGGGGAGGAGGGGGTGGGGATGAACTCTGGGGTTTATTGGTGGCATGGTTTGTGTAGTGCCCGTAATGTACTCGTACTGTGCTGGCCAGGTAGGTAAGTAATACGTGGTGGTTTGATTTTGTTGCTGCTGTGGGGGGTGAAGTGGTAGTGGGTGTGGGGTGGTGGTGTGGGGTGTGTAATACTG